CATTGTTATGATGTTTACTTATGCGTAATGGGAACGGATTATTACGTTGCTGTAAGCAAGCTGCATTAGGTTCGATTTAGATTTCCGTCAGGTAAACGGAGAGAATTCTCTTTCTTGCTTTGAGTCATCATGTTTGGTACAAAGTCTTTTGGGTAATTGGAAACTTTTTAAAATAAAGGATCATCGGAATGAATATCCTTGTAACTGTCACAGATACCGAAAGAAAGCATCTCATTTGCTCAAAGGAAATCGATGGCTTGTCGTGGCAGTGGGACGCAAAAGAAAGAAGATGAGGAAGTGCAAGGATATAAAGATGCTGCTTGGTCACCTCGGAAGAATTTTAAATAGATGGAAAGGATTTGGGTTCATAACAGAATTCCTGTTCCATCTGAAGGAATAAAGAAGAAACTTCTTCTGGTGTTGTGCATGGACCAGTTTTGGGGCTCCTGCTGCTTCTTCGTTCTTGAGCCTTCTTCGACTTAGACTAAAAAGAAAAGAAGACACCAAGTGCTCCTTGTGCAGGATAAAGCAGTGTCGATCCCTTCCATTTCGCGCGCCTATGCCAAGCACCGCAATCTATTCTAACCCGCCGACAATAATTATTAATTTCGATTAAATCAGTCATCCCGATGCCATCTATTCTTGTTACCAGTAATTGAGATATTTTCGCGTCACTTTTCCCATTCCGCCAGTGTGGGAGGGTTCGATATTTTCAATCCGGAAACTAAGGACCAAATTAAATATACTTTCCCGAGGTTCATTTCTGTGGAATCGATGCTAATTTGATTTGACTTTTTCACTCCTAAATCGTATCTGGTAGCATAACTCACCAACCTATCCTTGTTATCCGGCAGCCATTGATCTCGGTCACGTCCAAGGAATGCACAACAGCAGACACTACGTGAAGCACACACCTACTCGTATAACGTTTCCTTTTTCTCACCACTGACGAGTCCAGTAACTCCGAAACCGCCCGGAAACTTATCGACATCTGGGTGGCATCGATTTTGGTGCAATTGTAGGGGTATGTAACGAAGAAGAAAAAAAATGACGTTTGGTTTGGTCGCTTTGTAGCCTAGCAGCACCGCGTCTGCGACTGTTTGCGGTAAATTCTATGGCGAAAAGGCGCACAGGATGCAGCTCGTTACGACAACGACGTGCTCGTAGCAGTCCCATGACCTGATCCAGGCCTTTACACATATTCGATTATCTCCTTAATTCGTTTAAATGGAAGATGTTTAATCGTTGTGTGAAAGCGTGAGGGTGGACAGCAGCGCCTTGGAGGGAACAAATGCAGTTGCTTTCGGAAAATTACTAAAAGCGTTTGTTACACCTTGAAATTCCGTCTAGGGGATGGGGAAAGGGTCGACTTAAGTGTAAAGACACCAAAAAGAGTTTGCTACTCTAGAAAGACATCTAAAAGGGAAAGGAGATAGGAATCCGCCATCTTGGAGAATTTGGCGAGTGTTCCCAAAATGGCGCAACGAAATCGGACGCCATGTATATGTAATACTTTTGTGAATGACTCGATTAATTTCCATTTCCAGTACACAATAACCCTAATGAATGAATGTAGTACCTACGACGATTGACGTAGTGGGTATAGTAGAGTTTAACGTAGGTTTAGGAAATTTCGTTTCCTGGGGGCCGTTCCGTTCATCGATGAGCGTGTGTCGACGATTATCGCAGCGTGAAGTCTGGAAAATTGGTTTATTTTCAGGATTTGTTGATGCGGGATCAACTGCGAAATTAATTACGACTCTATTTGCGAGTATATTTCTGTATCCCGAGTCAAAAATAACTTTCAAGATTTAGTCTCGGCTATCGCCTCGTCTGTAAAATCATTTTGGGTACGTGTAGTAGCACGGAAAATTTCTAACTCTTGAGTTACGTGCATATGACGAAAAAATAACATCCCGGATACGTCAATTTTATGTAAAACGAATATTTAATGCCAGACCCGCAAATTTTACGGTTTAAAAACTAATTTATAATCACCCACTACTGTAACTCTTCAGTTACATGCATGTGACTAAAAAATAACATATCAAATACGTCACTATCTTGTTACACAAATGTTTTATATCGTTTACGTGATTTTGCGCATCATACACTGATTGTTTATTACTACATTTCTTTAGTTACATGCATGTGACTAAAAAATAACATCTCGAATACGTTACTTTTATGTCAGATCACTCGAAACGGCTTTATTTTATGGCAACCGTTCCCGAATTGTATGTAGAACAATCGTTTTGAATTTATTTCAAACCAAATTTATTGCACAATGCTTGTCCATATGAAAAACAGCTTCAATACTATCTGTCAACTGCACCGCAGCAACATCGTTACGCATTGCAATGCACTTTTGTGCATGTGTATTTACATCCGCATCTTTTGATACGGACCGTCATTTGTTTTGATGGGGCGTTATGTAAAATCAATTATTGGAAAAAAAATGAAAGATGTAAATACATTTTGTATATTTTGTAGAACTCATAGGGAAACATTGTTTCGGTATATGTATTACAACTAGTGTATAATTGATATAATCTCGCTGTTTAACACACAAAGCACGCCGTCGGTGCTCTTGTAATTTTCGATGTTTTAATTACGTAGATATGTGAGTGCGACATGAAAACAAATGATGTCAACGAGGATGTCGGCGTTACATAAAAAGCTTGAGTCACCATCGGATATTATTCTACAAGGTGATCGGAAGAGTCAATCTCGCTTTGCGATCGGCTCGCTCTTTGGAATCACATTAGAAGGAACGGAAAATGAAACAACTACTGAAGAGTAAGATAGAATGCTTTCAAAGGTACCCATGCATAGCTGCAGTAATGTCAAAACCACAGAACATGACAGAAGCCAAGCGCAGTGCCGCCATCTGCATGCCTAGTAGTAGCTTGAAACCACAGAACACAAGCGAGACGCGACGCCATCTACACGCAACTTTCCTTTTGTTGCGAATCTTCTTAGATGTTAACCACTCGGTATATCCAGTCCCAGTTGTTCAGGTGCGGTGCAATTTCGATTCAGGTGCAGTTATGCAGATAGCCTTTGAGATAGCTATATCGTTTCGAGAAATCTAAAATATATCAGGTGTAACAAGACCACGTGTTGCAACTTGCTCCTTGTAAGTTCAGTCACGTAGGTACTTCTCCGGGTGGTGAACACGGAATAAAAACTGTTTATTCGCAATTAAACTAAAATGCAACTACTCATAAGGCCTCAGCACTGAACATCAAATCCGAGATTAAGTCTCTAGATTTCGCCAAATTCCCCATGAATGACATCTAGAAGAACTTTAATTTGGGCGCTTCAAGGATCTCCCCATGAGATTGAGGTTAATGGTTATTTGGTGGCCTACAACTCCACCGGGACTTGGTCCAACAAACATTTAATAAGCCTTAAGAGTTAGTATCCGCGTTTTGGTGGTGGAAATGCAAGGGTAATTTCTGAATAAAGACTCGTGACTGAAATATGCTGATGTTGCTTCACACGACACGCATCTCCTTCAATGACGGCATCCGCCCCAAACGAAATCGCCATCATCAAAACCGTATCAAAATCCTTGGCGCATTACATCACCGCCGACAAAAAATCGATTATAGACGTGATGATAATTACACGGTGGAGATACACGCTCCTGCAGGTGAGAGCCGCGAGGTGTGCCGAAAATTCCAGACCATGGGAAAGTGTTTTGTGGATCCGAAAATAGCCGTGACGGCATATCGGATTGGATTGGTGGAAACTGACCTGTTGCCGCTGATATCCGTGATTATTAATTTATCTCCCGTTACGGCATTTAATCCACAGCTCCTGGCGGAATGCGGAATGGATGATTGACAGTTGAGGAGGGAAAAAACAATAACCGCTCCTTTGAAGCGGCGCCGACCAAGTGCGTCACTTCGCCCCCGGGGTGGTGAGATCACCGATTTTTCCGTTCGCGGAATCACAGGACCAGGAGCATGTATCCAAGCAGTTGGTAAGGACTTGGATGTTTTGGTGATGGTCAGAGATTCAAGAAAGTCGAAGAGAGAATAAAGGAGAGACTGTGGTGGATGACATAGCGACTAGTCCTTTATTGGTCGTGGAAAAAATTGGTCGTTCACAGCGCGGAATTAATTAATAAAAAATGCGCACACTTGGTCTGTAATTTAATATGAGTTGTTTTTATCGAAGTGATCGAGTAATCTGATATGAATATATGGTAGTTTCATTGGTTGGTTGTATAGCGTGATTGCAACCGGCTCGGGCAGTGGCGTGCCTCAGCAGGAAGAAGTTCCTCTGTCTTCGATATTTTTCATTAGACTGGACGATCCAAGACTAGTTTATTTACAAATTGTTACTTGAAGATATCCGTAAACGCACTTCCAGGATGACGAACGTTCTTTTATACCAATAGAGTCCTGGCTCATGGATGTAAGCAGGAGCTTCTAAAAAATTGTTTCTTGACTGAGTATGGACCCTGCTGATGCCACGTCCATGGTTGGTAGCCTCGCCTATAGCCACACACATGCACCAGCTCCTTAATATGATGATAAAGTCGTCGGACGTGGGGCAGGAATCAAGCGAGAGCGTATATGGAAGGAATAATGCCACACATTCCACAACAGCCGCTTGTTTGTTAACTCTACCAGACTGCCTGGCTCTGCGTGCCGTGAGGCATTTTAAATTGTTTTTTTCTCACGATAATTACAGAGTGGACGCCGAAAAGCGATCCGGATATCGGCTGTCGCTATCTCGCGTAATTTAATCTCGACTAACCTCAATTGACCTCAATGGGATGAATAGATTAGAGAGTGCTTGGAAGATTTGGCAGGACTTTGGTACAGATACAGTGGTGTTATGCGATGTTTAGAGCCGTTGGTTGCTCTAAACATTCCACATTAGTAACTGTTGCCAATAATTGTTAAAATATGACTCAAGAACTTTAGAGATTTATGATATGGAGTTTCCGAATTTAGAATATCGAAATTAGAATTAAAAAAAAATGTTTCCGCCCGGGTTCGAACCGGGGACCTTGTGCGTGTGAAGCACACGTGATAACCACTACACTACGGAAACGTTGTATAAAATCGTTCGAAACAATGTATTGCTGTTCATATAACAAAGTTATGCAACCAACTAAACACATGCGTAACTGTTTCTTGTGGATTACACTTTTTTCTATGCGTTACGGTTTACTGTATATTTCCAACATTTTAATCATCTTTTGTGGTGGTAGCGCAACCATGACTCTTATTTTCTGAAAGGTTACTGAATGCGAAAGACTTACTTACCGCAAAGTTCAAAGTGAATGAGCTGCTTAATTTTTTTTGCTAATGAATATTTCGCCATTCAAATTTCAATAGTTCATTATACACTAATTTCGGTTTAATTATCTTGCCGGCTGGTGATGGAACCGACTGAATAGATTTTATAAAATAGTACGGGCGGTCCATTAAAATATGGCATTGGTCGGTTTTGCAGGAAGCTTTTATTTTGCAAAAACCGAAAATCTTTTTGGGAGATATAATAATTGCTACAAAAATGACATACGTTTTGAGAGATCCCCAACAACTCAAATAGGTAGGTATTTGCTCATAATTCAATATTTTCCTTAGTTTGAAGCCATTACTTTTTGTTAACTCACCGTACTACAGCCGTGATTCCAGAGGTTTATACAACAAAGTCAATAAACCAAGAATCAGTGGCGATTCTACATTATTAGAGAATTAACCTGGTTTCCCATTACGTAATCCCCTGTATAACGACTATCGCCATTGACGTGAGGTACGATTTTTGCCCGTGAGAATTTTTTTTTTAACCCGCGCCAATTAAAGCCGCGCCAATTAGCGAAGTTGTGCAAGTAATTAATAGAAACCGGTTAGGAATAAAAGTCGATAGATGTTAGAGAAAAAAAAATGAATCGGTTTCGTGGTCTTTCACTGGTACTTTTTCGTATCGGGTTTGGGAACTCTTTAACCTTTGGGCAATAACTTATCCCCGGACAGAACTGCATTAATTGCATACTGCCCTTTCCTGTTTCCGAAAATAAAACAAACCAACCAAACAGGTAATTTGGTTTGCGATCTCGTGCTTTGCAACACAGGAAATAATTAGGTACACAGGTAAAAAAAAATATCGTTGTGAATGCAACCATGAATACATGTGTTTAGTTGGTTGCATAACTTATCGGTAGGAAGAATACATTGTTTCGAACAAATTTAAACAAGGTTTCCGTAGTGTAGTGGTTATCACGTGTGCTTCACACGCACAAGGTCCCCGGTTCGAACCCGGGCGGAAACAATTGTGGGTTTTTTTTAGTTTTATTTTTACGTTTGTACCATTTTTATTCCAGATTAATGAAATATGTGATTGTAAAATCATTTTTAATGATGTCTATAAATTCCTTCTTACCTTGTGTTGTCTTCCTCTGCAGACGTCTGGAAGAGCGAGCCACCGGATTGAGTGGCACTGTGACGACAGTTCACCCCTTTGCACCACCGCCGCGTCTTAAACCACGCGTCTCAGTCAACCCCCTGTAGCTGCGAGGCTGTCTTTTATACCGGTACCTCTTCCTTCTTATCTTATTAATAAACTGTCTGTCAGAGGAAATATCTGTTCTTTTTTCTCAAGAGTCTCCAATCGTCCGAGGGCGTACCGACGTCGCGCATTACCGCACGTGCCCGTCATCTAAATTTGTTGTGGATCGGCAGATCGGGGAATAATTTCCAGAATAAGAGCAACGAGGTTGAATAATAGACGCTATATATCTTTCCTTAATTGTGACCGTCGTGTGCCTCTGCATGATCACAAGGACCTTTTTGTTAGTTTGATTGGGACTCATTCAATTCCAAGAGTTTTATTAATGAAAAGGACAAATTCATGAGAAAATTGGAGAGCGAGATAAATTTGTCGTGTTATTTGTCCTGGAACTAAAAATAAATCCGGGTAAATAGGATTCATGCCGGTAGACATGCGATGATAGAACCGTTACTGGAGTGGTAATGTGTAAATTTATAAAAAAAAAATCAAATTAGACTGGGATTTTTTGGTTTTTGGTCACTGGAAACAACGGAAAACCGTAGTTATTATCATTCCTGTTCTTTGGAAAATTATGCTACATCATAGCTAATGAAAAACTATAGAATAGCCGTAGAATAGCATGAGCTTTCACGAACGAATTATAGAAAAGTTGTTACAATGAAGAAAACTGCCGTCGTACAGTGGAATACGTTAAAATGTTTGGATATTTGGATTTTAAAAGGAAACCTGTCGTTTCAAACTGATTAAAAGACCATTGAAACTGAATAAATGATTTTTGGGTTTGAGTTATGCAACCAGTAATGCTGCCAAGGTGTATTGTATGTTTTCGTTATCAATATAGGCAAGTCTGTAGAGGAAGAAGAAGACTGTTTTTGATTTTGACATTTGGCAGCTGACAGCTGTCATTATTACACAACATATTTAACTGCCTCCACTTTTTGGGACTAAAGTTTTACGTTTTTTATTTTGCCATAATTTTTCTATGATTGAATCTCTGTAAAATCGATAACTAATCGATCATCTGGAGGTCGATGTGATCATGGTGAGTACATTTTCGTGTCTCAGCAAATCTCTTGATGGTTCATCAGTTTTGTTGATTCTCATTGAACAAGTGTTTTCGTTATAATCTTTTAATACGCCGCTGCTAATTAAACCACGCATACCCGCATGATTAATTGATCAATTAATAGTTTGTGACATTTTTCCAGTAGTTTTTTGTTATCGAAAGTGAAACACCTGTGCATATCGAACACCTGTAGATATAACAACGATGTCGCATGATATCATTGAAATTAGTGCTAATTTATGAGAATAATATAAGTAACTGGCAGAATAGGAATTAACGCCTGTCACTACCAATTACATCTACAGTTTAGAATGGAGAGACGAGATAATGGAGCATATCCTTTGCTAGAAATAACTAGTCACAAATCAATTACCTACGTGTTTATCAAATGCTCGGGGTCATATCAGTTCTAGATCTTCAAAAAGCCACAGGAAACGCTTTTTCAATACCATTCATAGCTATAGATCACAATCAACTAGAAATAAATGAAGCATAGAGGTCGAATCAATCTAAGCCCATAATGAAATGTCTGGTTCAAATCAAATAAACTTGATAAACTTATATCAGAAATCAACGAGTAGAAAAGTCGCGAAATAACATATAAAATCCGGTTAGAAACAAATTGAGAAAGTAGTCAGTCATCGTGGGATCAAGAGCGGGATTTACAAAACCATTTTCTTTCAGAAGATGAAATCGCAGCTGGTGCTGGTTGAAAGAGAAGACAAAGTTCGAAACGCGGTGGTAGGAAGTTCCGGCTTGTTGCTTAACGATAAGTACATCATAACGACAACCAACATCCATTTCGATGCAGTCTCTACTCTCGATGTAGAAGAATTAGAACCAGGACAGCTTTATACGAGTTTTCCGAGAAGCGCAACTGCCTCTTTTATGATCGTCAGCAAAGATGGGGAATTGTACGATGTAAAGAAAGCTAGGATGTTGGCAACGTTTACATCTGGGAATATAAAATACTCGAACAAGGACATATTCCAAAACTGGGCTATCGATTCTAAGGACAACAACTGGGATTTGAACACTGCAATGTCTTTGTTTCTGGTACTTGCTGTCGGTGAAAACGCAGCGGATGTAGAAGATTTTAAAAACATTCTGAAGCAGTGGTGGGATTTAACTATGAAACTGGAAGCAAACAAAGGAGATGCTGTTTATTGCGTATCGACACCTTTCGGTAACAGGAACTTTATAAATTCCTTGTCGAAGGGAATAGTGTCCAACATTCTGGGTAACTCGTCCTGTCTTCTGGTCAGCGACTGTCCCTGCGCTCCCGGATGCGAGGGCAGTCCGGTGTATCTCAGTTTAAGGTGAGTTGGTGTTCCTCGAGGATCAAGGGTCCCAGAATTCACTCGTTTTCAGTGGTTCTTCTGACGAGGTTCCCGTTCCTTTTGGTATCGTGTTATCAAGTCTCAGTTGGTGGAGAGGCGAGTGGATCGGACTGACCCTCATCGCGGATATCAGGCCGATTATTTTAGAATTAACGGATGTGCCTGTGAGGATGTTTGATATGGGTCCGAGAATTGAGAGGCATGCATTAATCGGTGAGTTTTGAGATTGGATACTCTTTCCATCTTTTGTCACGTGGCAGCACAAGTATTGGCCACTGAACCACTGAACAGTTAAACAGTATTTTCTTTCTTAGTAACGAGATTACTATCTTGTGACCTAGTAATGCATTCTGTGTCTATGCAGTTTATGCGTCATAGTAGACCCACATCCGTTTAATATTCCGTGGTACTTCGACCTGATTGCGATTGCCGAATTTTAAACACCAGGCAATTATTATGGAACTAGCACGTTTGTTTGGAATCGCTGCCAAAATTCGGTTCAAGAAACTCCTGGGATGTTATTGACCGTCTGGCTGCAGTCTCCGACATAATTTTATGCGAATATCACAATTCGTTAGTTACCTAAGCATGATTCAATTTTTTTTAGCGACCATAGAATGTTGCCTAGCGCAGATCTACTGCGGAAGGAGTTGGGGAACGGCCATTTTGCTTGATGACAACAAAGGAATTTTCCTTACTAATGCTCACGTAACGGTAGGTTCATTGAACAACTTTGTCTGTTGTATTGTTCATTCATTGAGTTAGTAGTTGAAAAGCTACCGACAGGAGGTGTCTGCCACCGATTACGAACAAGCTTTTGTGTCTTATGCTGATTCAAAAATTTGTTTTAGGGAAGCGAAAGACTAACGCTCTTTCATAAAGGGCAAAGCTACAACGCACAGTTGGTATATAGAACGCCAGAGGGCGCTGTCTTTGACTTGGCCGTTGTAAAGTGTGACCCGAAGCTGATAAAAAATCGGAAAAATATGAAATCCATATCCATCTCGAGCAAAAAAATCGCACCAGGTAAAGACAAGGGAAGTTAAATGCTTCAGAGAGTACTTGTGTCGCATAACTGCTATGAAAATGGCCGCCATTTTCAAGGTTCTTATGTCTCTTGGGCAATCACT